CAGACAATATACAAAATTTGGAACAATTCCGTGGAAAATTTTGCTAAAATCATCAAAATACCGAATATCGGTAAGTGCCGTTATAGGCTATGCAAAGATGTGGACCGATTTGACAACTATTGTGCCAAATTTGAAAACTCTGCTTTAAATAATGCGGACTGTACCATGGTTTTAACAGATAGACGGAAATCGTTACATTGACTTAAAATGTTATGCTGATCATGAGTATATATAATTTTTGGAGCTCCGAGGAATATAACAAATTCTAAAATTCTATCACCAATATTTAGAGGTGTTACAAATGGATTGATAAATGTAATATATCTTTCTTTATAGAGACGGAGGGCATACAAATATAAATGTCTAAAGGGATCCTTTTGCCGGGCTCATAACTTCGAAATCGTTAAGAAATCGTAAGTTAAGTTGTAGATCTTACAAAAAAAAAGTATCGCTGAAATATAAACTCCATCTTCAAAAAAATCAAAGTCGACTTTTTATATATATATATATATTTTTTTTTTTGGGGTTTTGTTCTACAGAATGCATAGGAATTCGAAAAAAAAAACCATCTGCAAAAATACATTTAAGCGGATTTTAAAGTAAAATATAAAAATAAGTAAAAAATTTTAAAATTCTCTTTTTTAAAACTTTCTCTCAGGTTTTTTCTTTTTCTTTGGTGTGCATGTGTTAACCCGTTTAAAATTTAAGGAAACAAACAATAGGTGTCCGGTTATCTTCAAGCTTCGTACATTCAATATTATTTTTTTTTAATTATTAATAATTCTGATACAACTTTCATTAACAGTGAAAATTTTTTAAAATCATGAATCTCATAAAAAGCGACCGGAATCAATAACCAAGTCCAAACTTAGGTCAAATGCGAACATTGGGTTGGCCTCTTCCCGAAATTGGCCACCGAATATCGAATATTAAAGGGCGTCCCAACTAGGACGCCATTTTTATACCCTTAGCCATATACCCTCTGTAGCCATAACGGAAATAACGGTTTTAGACCCTAAGTCTCTTTGGACCAAATCCGTTTCAGAACATTTGGAGTCGATCTAGCGATGTCCGTCCGTCCGTCTGTCTGGTGCGCACGATAACTCTCGAAGGAAGTATCCGATTTGGTTCAAACTTGGTACATCGTAATATTTTTGTCAAACTTAGATCGAGTTCGGAGATGGGAAATATTGGTCCACTCCTTCTGGTACCTCCCCCACAAAATGTTGTAATTTTCAAAGAAAAAATTTTATTGCACCGAAAGAGAAAGGATGATCCAATTTTGCACCAACTTTGCAAATCCTAATATTTCCATCAGTGCTAGGTCAGGTGCGAAAATGGACAATATCGGTTCACTCCATCAAGTACCTCCCCCACAAACGATCAAAATTTTGAACAATTATAACACTTATAAAATGCGATGTAGATGCCCGATTATCTTCAAATTACACACATCACAATATTTTTGTTAGCCCATGGTCTGGTGTGAAAAACATTCAGACTTGGCACATCTCAATATTTCCATCAACACAAGATCTGTTATAAATATGGTAGAGATTCGACCATTCCTTCTTGTACATTCCCCACAAAGGGACACAGTTTTGAATAACCAAAACGATCATTAAATCCGAAATAAACATCCGGTTCTCTTCTTATTCCGCACGTCCCATTATTTCTACTAACGCAAGATCTGCTATGAAGATGGGATATATCGGTCTTCTCCTTCTGGTACATCACACCAGCCAAACCCCTCCCCCCACCACAAAAAAAAAGAGTCAACATTTTGAGTATCCAAGAATCATATAAAACGCGGAATTAACATCCGATTCCATTCCGACTTCGTACATCTCAATATTTCCATAAACACAAGATTTGTTAAAGATGGTAGAGATCGGGCCATTCCTTCTGGTAAAAACAAAACGCTAAAAGAAAGCAAAATAAGCATCCAACTCTCTTCAAATTTCACACACACAAACATTTTTGCTAACACAAGATGTGTTGTGAAGATGATATATATCTGCGAACTCCTTCTAGTACCTCACCCACAAGGAGTCACTATTTCCAATACTTATAGCTGTCATAACTTGCGAAACATGTCGGCGATTCTTTACAACTTGCCATATATATAAATATTTCTAAATATATTGAATATAAATATTCGATTTCCTTCAAATTTTGCACAAACCAATATTTTAAACTATGAAGTATGAAAATGGAATACTTTCCACATTTTCTAAGAATTTGCAGATATCTCATATGAAGTACAGGAAGTAGTAGATATAGCCCCAATCACTTTGTAATATTTATATCAGTCTCAGATATGAATTGGTCAATATCGGGTAACTGCTTCGGAACTTCCACCATAAAAAATTTGAATTATCATAAGTCCAGGCTGGGGGTATACATCTGTCGACAAAACCGACTGATACTATTTAACTTGTCGATATAGTCCAAATCTGGCCCATCTCAATATTTATATTATATTTATTTAGTTCTGATACGAAAAGGACAATATTGGCCTACTCCTTCGGGTCAACAGTTTGAATAATCATAAGAGAAGTCGAAATATATTTAAATATAATCGAACATTGGCTATTGTCAAGTCTCCAACTATCAACCTTTTGTTTTGTAGTTTCACACTCTGAGCAGCTGTTACTCATTACTCTACAATGAGTCAAATAACATATCTCGCCTTGTAATCTATCGGTAATGCGAAAATTAGTTTGTTTACATTACCCTGCAATGTGTTGAGAGACCATAAAATTCGTTTAAAGTCAAAATTTATTAATTTTCGTGTAATTTTTTATATATCTTCGTGTTTTAAACTCCCAATCTTCGGTTTTTTATTTGGAAGGGCACTTTCTGCACCAGTGTTTCTCATTACATGAGTTGTTTTTTTTTTTTTGTATTAAATATCTTTAAGAATAACCTATTATTTTCAACCTACTGGTAATGCAGAAGGTAAAATGGTCACATTACCTTTTAATGGGTTATTCGGCTCATACAGTTGACAAGATTTTTTCTGAGGATACATTTCCATTGGAATATTCCAAATTTTCCTCAAAATATATAAAGGTATTTTAAAGGATCCAAAATATTTCTCATTTTAATGATAATTAAAATTCAAATACTACGATCATTTCGATTCAATCCCATCCATTCATAATTGCATTTCTCTTTCACTCTCACTTTCGCGCAAAACATTTTTCTTTTTTCTGTTGGCGAAAATCATTTAAGTGCCATTTGTTTTCATTGTTGCTACAAAACAGAGATATCGTGAAGAAAAATCCGAACGAGTAAAATCGAAACTGCATTTGCCAAATATTTACCCCAAACAAATTACATAAAATCCTTGGCGATGCAAGATAAAATGGACTAAGTCCATGTGTGGTAAAATGCAAATGAAAAACTAAAGAATCTGACAAACCATTCGCAATATATCCAATGTGTGTGTAACAGAGGGCTGCAATGAGTATGATTGAGTAGGCTTGATCACACACAGTGGAAATACAATCAAACTCAATCAGTCGGTCAGATGCAACATGTTCATTCGAGTTACTCAAGCCAAACGAAAAACTTGTGATCAAACATGTATTGATCGAAGTTTTGTGAACGCAATCAAACAGCTCACATGAGTTATTTGTTTACGAACTTGTGTTGAATTGTTCATAACGGGTCGATCATCTATGAGGAGTCTTGTCGGTTTGATTCATCCCAGTTAAGTGAGTGATTTGATTTGATTAAAACACAAATGTTCGAAACTGAGCGAAATCATGATTGTAATTTTACAAAGGATTTCATAACTAAAAGCTGTCCCCATAAAAAATTGGTGCAAATTATATTTAATAAACAGACAATGTTTTCATTTTATTTGGGTTTTTGGTATGTTAGACTTCAGTGACTTATTTGAAAAAAAAAATTAAATTTTTTAATAAAGAAACACATCAGTGGTATTTAGAAAACTAAAAATGTTTAAATATTTTTATTTTATTTTACAATATTGGTCAAGATTTTTCACAAACTTCGACCTTTTCGTTTACCTACACCTGTGTAGTTTCTACTTGCAACAATTTCGGTCGCACTATCATAATATTCTTCCATTTCAAATATCAAAAAAAGTCAAAATAAACTGTCCCAACTTGATTAAATGGTTGAATAAACAATGACGCTGAGCGAACTCGATTCAAAGAAGACAATTACGGTTGTGATTGCTCATTTACATTCATGTGTTCGATCAACTCATGCTGCTGAACACATCAAACCGTCTCGAACGGTCATGTTTGATTGTGAGTGAAGTGATTCAAACTGAGCGTTCGATTCGATCAGAAACGAAAACGATCATTTCATTCAGATCAAACTAAACGACTGCATCAACAAAAATCATGTAAGAAACCGAGTATGCTTGAATTTTTGCATACTCGTTGCAGCCCTCTGGTGTGTAACCCATTCATGGCCTGCCTTGCTTGTACACATAAATAGTTTTCATTTATCCCAACATATGGAGTTAGATCTTTCCGAACGGACGGGACAAAACAAACTGGCAAACAAACAATTGAGACACGACGCGGATGACGGTCAGTCAACAAGTGTTTGGTGCGTATGCATTTTTTTTACATTATTTATAGTTGTGGGAATTTTCCACTCGATTCTCCTTTTATTCTGCTTCTTCTTGTTTCGTTTTTGCCTGGCTTTCGTTTGGATGCCGAAAAAGAACTTGGTTGGTTGGCAGATTTTTTTTTCTTTCGGTTTGCTTGATATCGGGGATCAAATTTATATTTATGGAATGTTTTTTTGTTGTTGTTTTTGTAAAAGAATTTTTAAAAGGAATCCACCACTGATTGTTTATAAATTTATTATGTATTCGAATTTTGGATGTGGGTCAATGAACAACATTTTTGAGATTTTTTTTTGCTTAAAATTTTTTTACATATAAATTAGCTGAAATCGTTACCAAAAAAATATTTTGAAATTTTAATTTTTTTTTTTCATTTTTTACACACCTCTGCATTTGATGACAAGTTGTAGGAGGTTTTCATGATTGCCACCAGAATTTCGCAATCAATTTATTTTTGTATCTTTTGTTTCAGGTGTTCTAATTAATTAAAATATTTAATTCCTTAAAAAGTGTTTCCACAATTTAAATTATTTTTTTAATTTTTTTTTTTTTTTTTTTTTTGGTATTTTCAAATACGTCACTTATGGAGACCCGCGTTTCCGTTGTGCGTTGTTTTCTTCTTTCGATTTTTGTTATTTTATTGCCCAGCAAACAATTTTTCACTCTGTGTTATTTCTTTATTTTATTCTTTTTTTAATTGTTTATGTTTATTGTTGCTATTTTATCGTAATTTGTTTATTAAACCATGTAGGTGTTGTGTGGTTGTTGTCACTTTTTTTTATTGACTTTTTGGTTTATTTATATTTTAAATTCCGCGTGTGAATTTTTTTCAAAATTTGCTTCTTTTTTTTTTTGCTTTCCTGTTGGGTGTTAATCGCTTAACGACATCTTCAAGACTGATTGTCTCTCAAAGAGTCGACGGACGTCCAAGTGGCACAAAAATATCGAAATTGTGTGTGAACATATATTTGCTTTCAGGCATGTAGCTCTGTTCGCCGCGGCCGAGCGGTGAGCCAGCCAGCGAACGCCATGGCATGGCACCGCAACGTCAACACCGAACAGGCAGCCATCCAGCTAGTGAGCGCTGCTCGGTGCGCCCGATTTGTTTAACTTTAAATGGTTTTGTTTGTATGATACATTCCACTATAATCTTGAAACAGGTTTATTGGGTTCATTTTATCGTTTTAATCAAAATTGGCAATAAAGGTGTTAGAAAGAAATACAACAACAAAAACCAAACCGGTAAATAGAAGGCAATTAAATGTAATTGAACTTTGATTGTTTATGGAGCATGGCATGCGTTATTATTTTTTTTTTAAGCTATCAGACGATGTTATCGGGCAGATGTCCTAATTTTGACTGTTGATGCACTCAGACATACTTTTGACTGATTAAACATTTAAATAGGTAACCCATTGAAAGATTTATCAAGATCCATAGATATGACCGTCATATGCTGGCCATTGTTCAGCTAAAAATATAGTTATGCTTCCGACCAAACAATTGAATAAGTTCAAAAGCTGTTCGAACAATTATAGATCCTCAAAATTTGACCAAGAGAAAATTTTAAGAAAATCGGACATAAATTTCCCAGGGAGCTATAGCTCATTATTATTCACAAATAAAAAATATTAGTCGATTTGCTTGGCAGGTATATACCCTCAGCTTATATCTGATAATAAAATATATTTTGATTTGATTATTCATTGATTGCGACGTGCCAGGTTTGGACTATATCGACTACCTCCTCCCCTTTATTTGAAATATTTGTACATATTTTTTGGAAAAATGTTGAGGTTTTGTGAAGGAGGTAGGAAAATGGTGGACCTAAACATAAAGATAATATAAGTACCGATAAAAAAAACATTGAGATTTGCAATAATTCCTTATTTCCAGTTTTGTGGAATTACTTACTTACCAGAAGGAGTGGACCGACATATTCAATATTTACATGACATTTATGCCTTATAGAGACATCCTCCCTTTTATTTGGGATAATTGTACATATTGAGGTTTTGAAGGAGGAGGAAGAGTAAAAATGTTGAGGTTTTGTGAAGGAGGTAAGAGAAAGGTAGACCTATTGCTTCCGACCAATCAATTGAATAAGTTCTAAAGCTGTAGTTGGTGTTCGAACAATTATAGATCCTCAAAATTTGACCACGAGAAATTTTTAAGAAAATCGGACATAAATTTCCCAGGGAGCTATAATTCATTATTATTCACAAAAAAATAACACCCGGTTTTATCGACAGATATATACCCTCAGCTTATATCTGATAATAAAATATATTTTGATTTGATTATTCATTGATTGCGACGTGCCAGGTTTGGACTATATCGACTCCTTCCTCACCTTTATTTGAAATATTTGTACGTATTTTTTGGAAAAATGTTGAGGTTTTGTGAAGGAGGTAGGAAAATGGTGGACCTATATATACAGATAATACTAGTAGTGATAAAAAATATTGAGAAAAATTCCTTATTTCCAGTTTTGTGGAATTAATTAAAAATCGATACTTTTTATATTTTGTGGGGAAGATACCAATTTTCCAGGGAGTTATAATTTATTATTATTCACAAATAAAAATTATCACTCGGTTTTATCGACAGATATATACCCTCAGCTTTTATCTGATAATAAAATATATTTTGATTTGATTATTCATTGATATAATGGTTGCGACGTGCCAGGTTTGGACTATATCGACTATATCCTTCCCTTTATTTGAGATAGTTGTACATATTGAGGTTTTGAAGGAGGAGGAGGAGGAAAAACGTTGAGGTTTTGTGAAGGAGGTAAGAGAAAGGTAGACCTATTGCTTCCGACCAATCCATTAAAGAAGTTCGAAACCTGAAGTTTGTGTTCTTACAGTTATAAATGCTCAGAGTTTGACCACGAGAAAATTTTAAGAAAATCTAACATAAATTTCCCAGGGAGTTATAATTCATTATTATTCACAAATATAAAATTATCAATCGGGTTTCTCGGCAGATATATACCCTCAGCTCACGCCAGCGACGTGCCAGGTTTGGACTATATCGACTACATCCTCCCTTTTATTTGGGATAATTGTACATATTGAGGTTTTGTGAAGGTGGTAAGAGACCTATTGCTTCTGACCAATCAATTGAATAAGTTCTAAAGCTGCAGTTTGTGGTTCCTATAGTTATATATGCTCAGAGTTTGACCACGAGAAATTTTCAAGAAAATCGGACATAAATTTCCCATTCATTATTATTCACAAAAAATTATCAGTCGGTTTTATCGACAGATATATACCCTCAACTTATAATATGCCCTCTGATAATAAAATATATTTTGATTTTATTATTCATTGATATAATGGTTGCGACGTGCCAGGTTGAGGTTTTGTGAAGGAGGAGGAGGAAAAATGTTGAGGTTTTGTGAAGGAGTTAGGAAAATGGTGGACCTATATATACAGATAATAGAAATACCGATAATATTGAGATTTTGCAATAATTCCTTATTTCCAGTTTTGTGGAATTAATTAAAAATCGAGATTTTTCATATTTTGTGGGGGAGATTTGACAATAATTTTACCATGAACCAAGTTTGAATGAATTTGGATACTATCTTCGAGAGTTATCACGCGCTCCAGCCAGACAGACGGACGGACGGACACCTTAGATCGACTCCAAATGTCTTAAAAAACAGGTTTGGTTTAAAGATCCAAAACCGTTCGAAGGGTTTCGATGAGGAGTTTTTCCGTAACAAATGTAGCCATGTGGCTGAGGGTATAATTATTTAGTGGTCGAAAAAATGTAAATGTAGTACGGCGCATTTGCAAAACGCCACTAGATACCAACCTCTATGCCAAATTTCGGGATTCCAGCGCTATCCCTTCACCCAGTACCAAATTCAGTAACATTGAGTACAAGTATAGTACGCATATCTAAAGCTACTTCCCTCAATCACAGATACCAACAGTGACATTAATGCCAATTTTAGGGACTTCAGCTCTATTCCTTCATCCCATACCAAACTGAGTTCAATTTTGTACTTTTCGTACAATTGTAGTACACATTTCCGAAACCACCTGCATATCACAATTCCAGATACCAACAGAGATCTTTATGTCAAATTTGAGGATTCCAGCGCTATACCTTCACCCAATACCAAATTTAGTACCATTTAGTAATTTTCGTACAAATATTGGGTAAATTGCCAAATCTCAAACAGAGATACAATCAGTAATCTAAATATTGAGTTTCGGAATATCAGCTCTATTTCTTCACCCAATACCAAATTTAGTACAATTTAGTACTTTTCGTACAATTATAGTACACATTTCCAAAACTATAGTACACATTTCCAAAAACCACCTCCATATCTCAATTTCAGATACCAACATGTCAAATTTGAGGATTTCAGCTCTATTTCTTCATCCAATACCAAATTTAGTACAATTTAGTAATTTTCGTACAAATATGGAATGAATTGTCAAACCACCGACAAATCTCAAACACAGTTACCATTAGTAACCCAAATATCAATTTTCGTGATTTCATCTCTATCCCTTTACCCAATACCAGAGGTAGTACCATTTAGTGTTAATATAGGACACATTTCCAATCCGGCGCCAAATCTCACACAAAGATACCATCAGTGATCTAAATAACAAATTTCAGAATTTTATATATATCGCTTGACCCTCTAGCACACATTTTCGAAACCACTTCCATATGTCAAGGCTACACATAAACCCTAATGTCAAATTGTAGATTTTAATCACTATCTGTTCTCCCAATAATAAATTGTAATAAATATAGTACTATTTAGTACTCTCGTACACTTGCATTACACATTTCCAAAATCAGCTCTTTAGCACAAATCTACCACCAACAGGGATCCCAATACAAAGTTTAAAATGTTCAGCTCCATCCGTTCACGCTAAACCAAACTGTTCCAAATTTAATACCATTTAGTACAGTTCGCAAACTTAGTACATATTTTTAAAACCAACTTCAAACTTACTTCAACTTTCTTTCCAACCAATTCAATCAACCATACCAAAATTCAAGTTTATAGCTATATCCGTTCACATAATACCAAATGGTAACATTTTAGACGTTAAGTACTATTTTAGAACTTTTCGTAACTTTTAATTTTGGATTTTCAAAAAGACCTGTCCTGCACATCATCAGTGACTCTCATTCAAAATCAAAATTCCAGCTCATTCAGGATACGAGCCCTATTGGTTCACCCAAATTCAAATTGTGCCAAATTTAGTACCGTTTAGTACACGTAAGTACAAATTGCGATAAATATTTACATTTCTCAGCCCTACAATGCAATAGTAATCTTATTTCTGAATTCCAGCTTTATCGGTTCACCCAAATCGAAATTGTACCAAATTTAGTACTTTTCATACACATAAGAACAAATTTCGAAAATTACCTCCATATACCGATCCCACACTCCGCCAGCCATGCTAATTTCAAATTTCAGGGTTTCGTATACATTAGTAAGCACTCCAAAAAATACCTCCATACATCGACCCTGACTCCCATTTCAAATTTAAAGTTTTTAGCTCTAACCTTTATCAAGATACGAAATTGTACCAAATAAGTACTTTTCGTACACATATAGTGCGAATTTCAAAAAAACATTTATACACTTCATCCGTGACCGTCATTCCAAATTTAAGATTTCTTCGTCAAATACAAAAGGTACCTTAGTTAGTACCTTGTAGCACTTTTCGTACCGTTCTAGTACGAATTGCAATAACCTCAGCCTAATCTGACACCTTCGAACCAAGACCCTCACCCAAAATTTCAAAGTTCTAGCTCAAGTCAATCATTCAACTACTTTACTCCGTTATTAATTTACATTGTACCGATCTATATATAGGTATAT